GGGTGAATCCCTCCCCAGCTGTAAACTCTTCATCGTTGTGGGAACGCCTGCACCATTTGTGTGAAGCAAATACCACAACTTCACCAAGTGTGAATTTTAAAGGCCAAACGACAGCCAAGTCAATAGCGAGCAAACTAGGCGCAGTATGAGTGAATCCAGACAGCTTTAGTTCTTAACCATAAGCTTTCATGTCTCTAAAGTGTGGGACCAGACTGGTAGTTATGAGGTCTGTATAAAGCCTGCTTGAATGAGGAAATACTTCAGAGTGAAATGCTGGCAGCAGTGTCCTGTAAGAACCAAGAATGATATAATGGCATGTATACGTTGCATATAAATGAAGTACATTTTTGAGATTTATCACATGTGTTATTAATATTAGACGCTGACAACTGCTTTTATTTATTCAGCCAGCTCTTAAGGCTCTGCGGCATCTGTGAAATACGACTTTTCTCGCTGCCAGTGAAGGTTACTTTGCAAGTGGGTTTTTTTTCAAACAATGTATAGTAACAAACATCATAAATTCTCATCTTGTTTCTATTATTATTTGTCCTTTCTGATGGTTGAGACAAAATTACCACAGAATTCTTTGCATTTTTACATACAAAACATGCAGCAAAACCTCATCCTGGTACGTGTCAGCTGCACAATAGAGTGATTGTGATAAATCTGGCGACACTGATGGACAGATTTGAATGTGTGAGAGTTCTGTAGTTCCTCCGCTTTTATCAGGCTCCTTTACACGGCGGTGAGTGAGTGATGAGGAGCTGCTAAGGTCGAGAGGGGACAGAAAGATCCCTATTACGTGATGTGAGGGGGAATGATCCTTCCTTTATGACGTGAGAAGGGGAGACAGGCAATTGTAGGGAGGAGAAACTCGAAATCCAGAGGTCAAGCTTTCAATCTGACTGTTTCAACAGGTCATGCTCTCACTCACCTCCCCCTCCCTTCCTCTTCTCCTCTTTCGTGACCCCTCCATTCTCGCCCCACCTGATGAAAGATGTTGATGAACAGCTGTGGCAGAACTAGAGCTGACTTCCAGGACGAGACAGTTCATCTCAGTCAAGTGCTGTGCATGCAGCCATCTGGCCACCCCTCCCGAACTGCAAGGCATTGTGTTGTTTGGAGAGTTTCCCAAGTCACGGCCAGTAACCTGAAAGCACCTTGGGGTTTTTTTTCTTCCCCCAATTCTCTCTTCGTTTTCCTGTAGTAAGAGGCCTCATTTCGTGCTCCCTGCAAAAGTAACACTCTGACATGCTGCAACCGCCCATCATAAATCTACACACTTAACTATGGGCCCTCAAATCTATCAGCCTGAGTGCTTTGAGTCTGGGGGCCACATCGTGACATGCAAAGAGGCGGGGGGGGTTGCTCAGTCACGCAAGTGCTGCCCCGCGCCTGGACCTCAGCCTGATTTTACTGCAGCCAGCGGGGAAACCAGACGCTACAAAGGCCCTGGGTCCACATCAATTTCACGAGCAAAGTTACTAGGAAATAAATCATTTTGGGGATTTATGAAAAAGAGAATGTAGAAGGGGGGGATGCTTGGAATTGGGCTGCTTTGACCCAAAGAAAATGGCAAAACAGAAGTGCATAAAATGAAGTCCATTTAGGATTCTCACAGCTTAAGAATGCTTGCAAGGTCAGATTTGTCTTCATAGTAACTCCACGTTGATAAAAGTCAGTTATATAGCTGTACGTTATTATTAAGTTAATTAAGTGATACATCTACGTGCAGGGGTAGCTATATTTCACTAATCGTATTTCCTCCAGACACGCGAGGTTCCAGGAACAAGACCTCAGGCTTTATAGGTCATTTGAGATCAGCAATTTGGCTTTTACGGGGCAGGATTCAGTCCAGACTCCATTTAATAAAACACACGCAAAGCCGATGTCTCTTTCCCTGCACCTGAAATACGCCAATCATAAAACCAAACCTATTCACACTTTGGCTGTTATTAGGAACTGTGTTATTATTATTGTTCCTGTTCTGCTAAAGACTAATGATCTCCCATCAGAAGGAGGTTAGGAGGACCACATGCTGGAAACTTTGCACTTTTCCAAGAATATTTCTCCTACTTAGGCTGAGTATAACATCTGTGCATCCCTCCAAGCGGCACGCAGAGATGAAATCCACCTATGATTTCCCTCACCTTTCAGTATCAGAGAGTACTTTGTGTCATTTGGCTGTCGGACATAATCTGAGCATGTGTGCTTGCTGGTGCGTCTCCAAGCCACTACTGTACTGTGGTTTAAGACTGAGAGCAATTAAAAGTTCTTTCTCGGTTTCCCTCCGCTAAAAGAAACACATCTACACTTGTTCAAATTTGATTCTGGTGGCCACATTTTCACTCAGCTACCAGACAGTTTTATGGGATAGCGTGAAAATTCTTCACCCTTCTCATTTTGAAATCATTTAGATTGACTAAATGTTCCCAGAAGCCTCGACATGAGGGCCTTCATTCAAACATGTCATAGATTTATGTTTTTAGGACAGCAATAAAACAACACTTCCAGTCATAATCTCTGTGTGGGAAACTGATTTTTGATTCTGTAGATTAATGAACAAATAGCAGTGTTGTTGATCTTTGGCTTTGGCCTGTCAAATATATTTTCTGCCATTTTTCTACAGTGTGTTTTACCATCGTTTACTGTGGTGATCTCAGTTCATAGCCGAAGGCTCTGCTGTGGCTTACCTCGCGAGCTAACGCATGAACACACACAGGTACATCATAGAAGCCTGCTGTGCTCTGCATGAAAGGCCTTTTTGGGGGCAACACAAATCAGATGTGTATAGCAGTAATTACCCTAGTTTTTGGCTGGCACGCTGCGGTCATTTAGAAGATTAATCAGTCATGGACAAATAAACAGAGTTTGCTCTCTGAATGTCACCCCCCCCAACCTTACACACCCAGAGCTGTGCATATGGAAAGACTAGTCTGGTGTCCGCTTACGATACCTTAAACTTTATTGCACTGTACGGTTTCATTCACAAAAGCAGTTACACATTTGTGTGGACGTCTGCATATGTTGTCCAGAGATGCTGAATCGAGGATCAATCTTTACCACTCTCCATTTAAACAAACCTTCACAAGCCATTATGATCATAAACAAACAAGAATATGAATACATAAGATGTGTAAATATCAAAGACAGCAGATATCTGTATATCTATTTCCCAAAATTACATGGCATGGATAATGTTTTAAAGGGACAGTTCACCTCAAAATCAAAAATGCATATTTTTCCTCTTACCTGTCGTGCTGTTTATCAATCTAAATTCTTTGGTGTGATTTGCCAAATGTTGGAGGTATCAGCTGTAGAGATGTCTGTCTTCTCTCAAATATTATGGAAGTAGATGGCACTCGGCTCGTGGTGCTCAGAGTGCCAGAAATTAAATGTAAAAAACTCAACAGCAATGTCTTTTTCCAAAAAAACCTGGGCCAGTTACAAAACATAATCCACAGGCCTTGTTGTGGGCAGTTTCATGTAGGAACCATTTTCTTTCTACTGAACTACACCTGCAAACCGTGCAGAAGGAAGCGTGCATCTATTGCTAGCTCACCTTGCATTACATTGCTAACATTACAGGTCAGCTGAGGAGTACATCAGCACGAGCCTCTTGTCCATGAGTCGATGCACACTTCCTTCTGTGTAGCGTTTCGGTCGGCAGGTTAAGTTCGGTAGAAGGAGAATTGTTCCGACCTGCAAAGGTGTAAGTTTCGTTTCAACATTTAACATGGGAGAGGGGCACAAATGAAACGATGGGGTTTGGGGGTTCTCTGTTAGAAAATTTTGAGCATCAAGTGCTTAAGTTCCTGCATTTATGTGAATTTTTATGCACCACTTTGTGCTTCTTTTGCATCGATTTATGGGATAAATGTCTTTAATAAAGACACATGCATATGTTATGCCTGCGTGAAACTGCTCACAACAAGGTCTGTGAATTATCTTGAGTAACCAGGTCATGGTTTCTGGAAAGAGACATTGCTGTTGAGTTTTTCTTATGTTTTTTTTGGTGCTTTGAGCACCACAAGCCAAGTGCCATCTACTTCCATTATATTCAAGAGAAGGCAGACATCTCTAAGGATGATATCTCCAACACTCTGCAACTCACACCAAAACTATCCAGACTGATAAATAGCACTACAGGTAACAGGAAAAAATTGTATTTTTGATTTTGGGGTGAACTGTCCCTTTAAGGTTGAACCTGTTATGAACATGTGTATTACTTTAAAAAGAATATTAAATACGTCAGATCTTAATCATATCAGGTACACAGGAACAAATTACATTAATGGATAACAACACAAACAGTACACAATTCCCAATGACTCCTAACGTAATGCAGTTTGCCAAGATACACTTAAGTTATTAAATGGTATAAATGCTAGTTAACTACAGCCATATTTCAGAGAAAAGTTTCAACATAGTGGCGTGCCCTCAGGTCTCTTATCACTATAGGTAGCCATGAGCTCATTTCTTGTTAGCCAGTTAAGACTCCCCGCACAGTGGATACTGCTCTCTGTAGGCACAAGGTAATTATCTGCAGTCACGCAAAGCGTTAGCTGGCTAGCTCGGCCCCCGACACTGTAAAGAGTGTGAGAGGCAGGACTTCCCTTCACCTTGTTTTTTCTGCATTTTGCCATCTACATTCCATGTGACAACCACATCAGTCATAAAAACGTGTGCATGCTGCATTCCAGTGTATGACTGAAGGTTTGATTTAAGAGCTCTGTGATATATTCTAAGTGAATCATAACCTTTACTGCATGTTTCGCAGTGAGTGAGGCAGAGCTTCTGCTGAGTCATCGGCACAAATGATTTCCAGGAGATTACTCCATCTCCTCCATTCAGTGCTTGACTCATTAGTTATTTGCTCTATGAAGGTAATCCAGATTAGCTGGGTAGTCAGGAAGAGAGAGAAATGTTTTTTCAATGAATTTACAAGTGAATCATTCAACAGAGGCTTTGTCTGATTATATGAAATAAAATGCTGCCCTCTTGTGTCTAAAATCATCCCAGCTACAGAGCACTTTCTGTCTACTTGAAGAGCATATATAGCACAAACAGTTTACTACTGCAGAGGTGACACAACTGTTTTTGTTGTAGCTGTGCTGCTGGTGGTGACTGTGAGGGGTCTGTCCACTGGACCAAACTTGCTGGAATTGTAGTAGTAGATGAACAGGAAGAAACCTGCAAAAACAGAATAGTTTGATTACAGGTATTAGAAATTTGGACTAAATGAGTCGTAAACTAGACAGTTTGGATACATTTCAAATTTGGAGTCTACCTTGAAACGAGTTGAGGATGGTGAAGATGTAGTAGGAGGGTATGCGCAGAGGGCCGTAGCTGAAGAAAGCAAAAGCCCAGGTGATGCCGAGCAGGAGGAACAGGCCAAAAATGGAGAAAGAGTTGGTCTTGATGGAGTTGTAGTCTTGAGCTTTCCCTGCCTTGGGTTTAAGGAGCATAATATGGCGCACAGTCAAGACGAATACGCCAAAGGTGAAGATGAACACTAAACCGTAATAACCAATGTTGACGCCCTGGTGGATAACAGCATCAGGAATCCAGCACCTGAAAATCATGGATAGTGACCCGCTTAGTGACATGAATCTCTTTTTGTGAATAAGAAATGTAACTTAGCAGTCATTAAGATTTGCTTACATTTTTGCTGAATTCCCATCATCGCTGTTAATGACAATGTAATCATATTGTCTCGTGGCGAGAAGAGTGATTACCACTACAGCTGGAGTGACTGAGGAGAAAGTGCGCATGTTTTTAATTTGGCTTTTGTGGTTTGATAATGATTGTATCCTTCAACTATGTCAGGTTATGTTCTCTTACCCCATCCTGCGACGCACATCTTTATAATGTAGTGTTTGGCTTCAGTAGAGACCCTCCACAGATTAAAGTACAAGTGTAGAGCCTGGATGAAAAACCAGCTGAAAGTGGCCAGCATAGTGTAGTGCATGACTGCTGCCACGGCCACACATGCGTTGAAGTTCCCCATCTTGGCAATGGTCTCATTTACCAGGAAGGACAAGTTCAGATTAAACATGGCAACAAAGAGGTTCATCAGGATCTTAGTTGCTTGGCTTGCTTTCCCTTATCTGTGGATGGAGATAGTGTCATGTCAGCACAAGTTAAAATCAGTTAAAATGGAAATAGACAACATTCTTTGCTTTAACCTAATATTATGAAGTAAATTTTGATTGCACAACGTAATGGCTATAGAATAATGACACCATCGACATTAAGATTGGTTTCCTATAAGCCTCGCTTTGACTATGCAGTTCTGTCTTTCACCAGGTATGAAATGAGGGTTCAATTAACTGCATAAATGAAGTGTGTAAACCATTGTGCAACTAAAACAGAAAGAGGATAGTGCTTCTCCCCCCTCCCTCTGGTAGCTATATGTAGCTATAGAGACAGAGTGCGTTGAAGTCCCGTTCTAGCTGGAGGGGAAAACGTTCATCACTCTCTATTGACTTTATATTGCGTCAACTTGTGTCCCTCTCACTTACGTTTGCTAGCAAAATCAGTAAAATGGCCTCAAGCTGCTGTGTGGTGGGATGCACTACTAACAGGGTAAAGAACCTAGATCTAAACTTTTATAAGCTGCCGAACCGAAAAACTAAACCTTTTAAAGATCCAGTAGTATTTTTTCTTTGGTGTATAATCACCTAAACATAAGAATCATTGTCTTTTCTTAGAATAAGCTGTCTACGGAGATTGCCATGTTGCACCGCCATTTTTCTACAGTAGCCCAGAACGGACAAACCAACCACTGACTCTAGACAGAGCCATTCACATTTTCACATTGTTGTGTACTGCGTCGGTAAAAACACTGATTTTTTAACATGAAACTGCTTCATTCGGCATTTTTACCGGTTTAAATCACTGGGTCTGTTTGTTTTGGAGATGAAGAAACCTATGGCGACAGTTTGGCTCTTGCAGTTAACTTCCTGAATGTCTGGATCAGAAATGAGGTGAGCTCACATTGGCAGGTACTTGGTAGGAGAAACACTGATTTGTGAAACTGCTTTATTCAGTTTCAGTCGGTTGCAATCTGCAATCTTCACCACTAGATGCCACTAAATCTCCATCATCTTATTTTACACACTGGAACTCTAAGCAAGCAGAGACATGAGGCATCGGCAGATAATGTGAGAATACTGGGATCCTGACATTCAGTAGGCTACATGTGCAGCAAGCATTCTGCTAATTGAAGGTTGAGGTTGAAGCTAACTAGGCTTAACTAGGCTGGTTTTGCTCTTTTTTAGGTTAAATGAGGATCTTGCCACGTAATTCATTTAACCAGTTGTGAATATCAAAGTAATTTCACTTCTGGCCATTCACTGGGATTATTTGGGATTATAAGCAGAAGGGACAATGATGCAGACCGACAATATTGAGCTTGACAAGGTACCTTTCTCTTTCTGGTAGACATAGGGTGCTAAATAATCCTTTGATCTGTTAAAATGTGATGTTTAAGGCTAGCTACTGATGCATATTGTGGCGCCAACTGTTTTCCCCACCAGTAGACGCGGCTTTCAGAGTTTGACGCATTGCACTTTGTCTCTATACCCAGTTACAAAGAGTAGAGTACCAAGCAGCAGAAATCCCCCCCCCCCCCCCCC